CCAAAATTAAGCAGAATAATATTATACCCCCTGACGAATGTAGTGTTTGGATTAGGGATCATGTTAGAGTTTATATTAATACTAAGTTAAAAAAGGTGTGGCTAAGCTAGGGATGCTTGTTTAGCCTTGCTGTGGTTGCTTGATTTGTACTCGTTTTAGTTGATGTGGTGAATAAAAATTGTGTGCATTTGTTCAAAAATATTTCTTACAAAGTAGTACTCCCTCCGTTTGGAAAAACTCTTCCCATTTTGATTTGAGACAAAAATAAGGAAGTGTTAAATTATAGTTGATTTCCAATTTTGTCTCTGATGTGATGGGTAAAAGTAAGATGTGATGGATAAATTATTAGAGAAAAAGTATGATGTGATAGGTAGGGTATGAAAAAGTAAGGGTAACAGTGGTTTTTTAATAGAAAAGGGAAGTGTTTTGTTGGAAGTGAAAAAGATGAAAGAGGAAGTGTTTTAGAGAACGGAGGGAGTAGTAATCTATCTATCATATTTTATTGTCATACTAAAATATAAGGGCAAAAGAAGAAAGTAACACACAAATTACATCAACCTCAAATATTATTCTTCCTCAAAAGAGAAATATTAAAAAAAGGACTACAGACCAAACAAGAAATATTCCTTCTGTCCCATACTTTTGTCTATTTACTTTTTTCGCACCGTCACACATTCAATACGATGATCATTGTTATCGATACTTATATATAGATGCATATTACAGACTATAAAAATTAAAAACACTATTCTACATGTACGGAATATAGATTTAAAAATTTAGTTTCAACACAAATCTATTTATATTACAACAACAAAAATTATAGAATACGGAATGAGTAACAAGGAGTGAATTTGGAATTAAAGTGCAAAAGATCCATGAATTTAGAAGTAGCAGTTAGAACATCTCGCGACGGTAACAAACACGCCGGCAAATGGCAATGTAGTTAGAACATTACTAAAGAACAAGTTTAATTAACCATTCCAAAGTCCAAACACCCTACGACTTGAAAATGCTCACAAAATGGTGTCACAAAAAACACCAAAAATGTCTTTTGATGTGATGGATAAAGTATAATGGGGTGGGTAGATTAATAGAGAAAAAGTATGATCTGATATGTAGATTAAGAATTAATAGGTGTAAAAGTGACTTTTTAATAAGAAAAAAGAAATGTTTTTTTGGGAGAGATGAAAAAGGAAAGGGGAAAGGTTTTGTGGGACGGATGAAATATTAAAGCATAGAAAGTCAAATGAAAAAATTATACCGAATTAATCAGGGATAGAAGTTTCATGAAAACCTAGTGGAATATACCTAGAAGAATCGTCGACATACGCTTCTTCGGGTTCAAATTGACGCGGCATTATGATTGTCGGGCCATCCCGACTCCCGCAGATGTCGTAAGAAGTATTGTCATCATCATCACCATCACCGACAAAGCCGCCACCGTGTTGCCCCGTCAGCATCCGCTGGCGGCAGCGGAAGGACGCCAGCTGGGCCCGCACGCGGGCGAGCTCGTCCTCCGCCTCTTGGAGGCGGCGGCTGAGGTGGGCGATGTACTGGACGCATCCGTGGACGGGGAACTTCTGGCGCATGTCGGCCTCGAAGATTAGGGCTTTCATGGCGTCGTCCTTCTTGTCGTCGTCGTCGATTTTCCGGAGGGTTTTCACGATGTTTCTGATGCCGAAGAGGCGGTGGGCGTTTATGAACGTTCTGGGGTCGGTCGCCGGGAAGTACGGCGCCAGCATGCAATCGGAATGGCATTTTCTTCTCTGGTGCTTGCAGGCGGCACAAGCTGGGCTTCCGCCGCCGCCGCCGCCTGCTCCTTTTATAGTCATTTTTTCTATCTCCGCTCTGCTGCTTTAATTGACTTTTGTTAGTATTGCTGATTTTTCGCTGTTTAAATAGTATGGAGACGTACGCACGGAAATGTACTCGTACTTCGTACCCCAGCTTTAGATGTGTTGTTAAAAGAAAGAAAAACAATGACAATAACAACAACAACAATAAAAACAACAACATTATAAGAACAACAACAACATGATCTTGTGTTGTTGTTCACCCCCTCAGACAAGGTATTCTTGTGTGCTAATTTTGTACCCCCGCGCCCCAAAATGATCTTCACCCCCTCTTTTTAGTATACCCTTTTTAATTCTGATTTGATCATAAAAAGTTACTCCTTATTTATTTTATGATTTGTTAAACAATCACTCCCCCTATCCCTTAAAGATATTCTTGTTTACTATTTACATGGTCAAATCGTGTC